CACTTCACGTGACAGCCTCGGAGTGCACCTGGCCTGGCACAGGCTTGGTGGCGAACGGCGGGGTAGTGGTGTGGGTGTACGAGTCGTGGGGAGCGGTGGCGGTGCGGTTAGCGCCCTGCGCAACGGACCCCCGGCAGCCGAGTTCGATTCCAGCCCGACGGCAAAAGATTTGAGAAAACCAGCGCTGTCACAACCCTTACCGGTCACCCCGTGCCCCTTATAAACCTCAACGTCCATCCTACAAAGTCCCATCATGAGGGAGAAACACAAATCACGTTACGGAACAAATACTCTTTTACGTATCAATTTTGCTAATTGGTGTCAATGATGCTACTTATGCTACTGACTATGATCTTGCATGCTGATGCTTGCTTGATAGGTGGATGCACACACTCATGTTGTAAATGTACAACAATACACAGAAAATTATGAATGGTTAAACAATGCACTTTATTTTTTATTTGGCTGTATAATTTTTATTTTGCCCGTATTTAAACGGCTATAAGCCGTATGGTACTAAAAACTAAATTTCCCTGTACAAGAATATGGAGTAAGTCGTGTGGGTTGACAGGTATGGAAACCCCATCACAGCATGACGATACGTACAATAATGATGCCACTGCTGTTTGTGCTCACACCTTTAATTTATATTCGTTTCCAGCTTGCAGGCATTTTCCTCTGTTGATGGCCTTATCAACATCATCATATTTTATGTTTACACACTTTGGGCAAATTTCCATGGAGGCTGACTGGAGTGAAGACGTTTGCGTGATGAGATGGTATAGATATGTTTGTCCGGCTGACGTGTAAGACAACATCAAGTGAACAATGGAGTCAAATGCGAGGTTTTGTGTTTTATAGAATGCGTGGAATGTGCAGGGACGCAACGCTTACACGACTGACATTTCAGAAATGTAGATGGGGAAGTGGTAAAATACATTTTTGTTTAAACAAAAAAGATGTTTAAATCAGGCGAGGAAGCCCTGACCTTTGCCCCAGCATGTCAACGCATCCATCGTGGCATATCGATACAAATTGGACATCTGTGACGAATAGTTTTATAGCTCATCAGAATCCTCCAGCATAAATCACTGTTCTGATTTTGAATTGCATTGTCTTGAATGCAGCGAGGTTTTGGTGGCACTACACGTTGAACTCTGTGCTATTTAGTATTTCCGCCTGCGTGACACTGGAGATAAAAGGTTTGACTCCTAAATAAAACTATCTCACCAATCTGAGTTTTCAATCGAACATTGTGTCCAATTCTAGAACATTTTTTTGCGTTTTAAGTCATGTTTTTAATAAACATTATTTATTAATATTCAAACCCAGTCAGGGCTCGATTCGGCCCAATAACCATTCGGAATGAAACTAAACAAAGAGAAATGAGGACTGCATTGTGGGAATTAAGTCAGCAGAGTAAGTCCATGGTGAGGCCTGGCCCGTCTTGGGAATATCATTTCGGGAGAAACGCCTTTCCATATCAGTGTTAATGCGAGATTGTCAAAGGTGTCAGCTGCATACAAATCCCGCTGACTCCTCAACAACCAAGGATTCTGGAGTTGAATCGTTTTAAGGAATGACTCCAAATATCTCCCACCGTCAAATGCTTAGACTGCGTGTTTTATCGGCAGTTGTGCGTGCCGTTAGAATTCTATGTAATAGCATTATGAGCTGAAGTCATCTTTACCTGCCCACACCACCTATATTACTATTATCAGTAGTTTTTCTACGTTGTATATCACTGCACCCACTATTCCCACAGGTGTGCACCACAGGTGTGCACCACAGGTGTGCACCACAGGTGTGCACCACAGGTGTGCACCACAGGTGTGCACCACAGGTGTGCACCACAGGTGTGCACCACAGGTGTGCACCAGCCACGAGGCATGGAGATGTAAAACAAAGCACTATTGCCTGACCCACACCTTTCTGATTACTGCCTCATGGCATTCGCTGTGTAACACGTGCTGAGTTTACATTAACGATTACTGGAAGTTGACAAACTCTAGCTGTTGCCTGATGTAGCTGGTTATAATTACCGGCGAAACGCCGTACTCGAATTGTGAACGTTGTGGGTTTACTCTCCAACACACCGGTGTGCTGTACTAGTAACGAATTGGCACGTTCTGTTTACGTGACAAACCTTACGAATTGGCCGTGTCGGGTGGTGGCGGGTTTAGTGACACATTTATATTGACGCCATCTAACCCAAAAAACCTCTATTATGGATAAGTTGAGAAACTCGGCATTTTCCCAAACGGAATTGTTCAATGTAACAGCCACCACTCGAGGTTGTGAGTTGCTAGATACGTCTTGTTCGTGTTTTCATCATTGTATCCTTATTATATCACTGTTATGAAATGTGTCGCGTGTCAATTATTTCGACTTAAACTCGTTCAGTGTTTACTACATTCCGGTTTTTTGTGTCCGTCCTATCGATTATTAATTTATTTTCAAATATTTAAGTAATATTGCAGAAAAACAAGTTCAACATTGTAAACCTGACACATATAGAGTTTGGAGGTTTGAATAGAACGGTAATTCGCATATGTCACGTTGTCATTACATTGCTACATTTGAATCATGTTTTTGTACTTTTTGACGGATATGTATACATATATTTGATGAGGCTGTAACGACAAGGGGAATAATTAAAGTGTAACAGACCGCAGTATTCACTCACTCTCGAAGAGCGACTCATAGGTGCATGACTGGAAAAGCTGGGAGGCAGCAGCAGCAGCAGCAGCCAAGCAATGAGCTGGCGCCAACAATTGCCAAAGCTCTATGGTTCTCTACGTATGAAGATGTTATCGACCAATTAATAAGCGTCAATGCATGTTGGGAGAAAACCGGAGCTCCAGCAGAAGACTCATGCGTGCGATGGGGACATGCTCTGTCCCGGAATCAATCATAATAATCGTGTCAACTGCTAACTCAGCGCCGCACAGCGTTCGCTCCCTCGCTGTCGCGCAGCTCCTGACGACTGTGAGGCTGTCAGGAGGAGGAGCCACGTGCGAGGAAGGTAGCAGCGGCAGCCACGCGGTGAGCGGCCGCAGCACTGACAACGATTTCCCAAGCTCTGCAGTCCTCGATATGCCAAGGCGTTACCGGACAATTAATGAGTGTTTATATATGGGACGAAACAGGAGTGCCCGGAGAACGCCGACGTGTGCGAGGGGGAAACACTCTATCCCGTGGAGAGGGAACAGGCGGAGTCCACAATTTTCCTGAACCGACGTTTCCTGGCAAGCCAGGCAAAGGCTCCTCCTGGACGCCCACGAGATGGAAGTTTCACAATATTTATGTGATGCACCAACTCTCGCTGCCGCCTCCACAGTGCTGGATTACAGAGCACGTGCTCGTAGGCTATGCATTAGGCCACTGGTTTAATTGGCTGTAAATGGGGCCTACGCTCTGAGCTAAGCAGAGCACAGGTGTGTGTATATCTACTCGTACCACAGCCACCTGTGTTTCATTATTTTGTTTTATCCACCTGTCTGAATGTTTGATGCGTGTTTTCGGAATATGGAGAAGATGCTATCACAGATATATTGGCATGTGTATAGTATATGAGAAGGGGTGCCCTTACACACTGAGCAAAGGTTAAACAGGGGACTTCAACGTAAATAATTGGTTGCTGGAACGGATATTTCGTGGAGAGCACTAGAGAGAGAGAGAAAACCCATCTCTAGAAAGTGACCTTTCCTCTTAAATTTTGTCGGTTGCCCTGATTCTGTTTTTGTTTCCTGCTTTGCATGCATTGCGCATTGGGACCCTAAGATGGAATTGTGCGTTGCATGTTTGAATTATTGCCATGCATGTATGTCGGACGTCTTTCGCCCCGTGCGTAGCCAACCGTGCTAATCGGAGGTGCGAAAGAGGAGCGGGGGGCGGGGGATGTTGTCAGAGTCTCGGACTGAAGTTCACCACTCCCCGTTACCGGACGCTTAAAACCCTACGAGTTGAATGTTCACTTTGTGCAAATCGGATCGGCGACCTGCGAATCCGCATGCGACTCCCTGACGACTGCTTCCTGGCTCCCGGCGCGATAATTGCCAATGAATAAAAGCAAAATCCTCTTCTAATTCTTTTCGACAATTATCGGTGAACGTCAAAAATCCCAACAGTGATCTGTAATGCGGCATTACAGATCACTGTGCCTGTGCTGTTCTTCACATCGCGATTACAAACTAGATGGTTTGACGTGAACCATTAAGTACCGTCCTGTGTTCATTCACATGCATCGCAACTCTCCAATTATTTAAGGGGGGGGGGGGGGGGGTGTTTACCGAATTTGAAGAAATTGGCTATTCCTGAGAGTAGGTTTTCCCCTTTTTTCCGGCAACAAAACAGCTGTGTTAAGATGTTAAAACACCAAACTGAAACCTTTTTACAAGGAATCATGTCTGCATTAACCACAATGCTTGTGGTCAGAATTCAAACAAAAAACACACACTGATGATATTGGCATTGTCTTTGAAACTGATTGGTCCACACCAGAGACAGCTCTCTTTGGCTCTTCCTGTTCGTGTGCTTGCCTACCCCTGACCACTCCGTGACTATCTCTCATCTCGGAACAAAAACAACAGCACAACTCGACACTTTCGTCACTACGACTGCCTTGAAAATTCAAATCTGGGTGTCGAGTGTGTGGGCACTTCGTTGGTTGCGTGGTGCGGGCTGCCCGACAACTTAAACTCCGAGCCGTGACTTGGCGTGACCGCACCCCGGTTCGTTTAATACACCTGAGACGCGAACGATGCTAAGGAAATGAAAGTAGATTTTGGTCTCAAATGATATCTAACGCGCATTTCAACGCTGTGCTGAGTGTAGTACTACAGGATCTGGTTTAACTCATGTTCCAAATACACTGCTGTGGATAGCTATGGAAGCGAACGAGGAAGTGCATGTCGCTGTATAATGTGCATATATATATGCGTGCGTGCGTGGATGTGTACGTATAACGCATTTGCAATGCCCTGCAATGCCGTGCTCACCCGTAACGCCGAGGAGCCATGGAACGCAGGTGATGATCAGCAGAGGCCGGAAGAGGTGCCCCATGGCGACTGTGGACGATATGATTTGAACGCTCGATTTCCCGTCACACTGTGACAGAAACTCTAATCACCACCGGTCTTCTCCCTCTCGCCCTTATATACACAAGGCGGAGGAAGTGGCGGCGATGGTGGTGGTGATGGTGGCGGAGGAGGTGGTGGTGGTGATCGTATCGGTGATTACGGTGGTGGGAGGTTTGGCGAGATTGAGGTTGTAGTCGCGAGTCATGAGATGCGTGATTCTTGTGGCACTCTTCAGCTATTCCAAGTGTTTAGACCCCCCCCTCCCTCCCCACGCTTCTATAGGCAAGGGCTGCTATAGCAGAGGCACAACCTTGTGCCGGTCTTGAGTTGAAACGGACGTTTAAACGTTCCAGCAGAACATCCACGAAGAGGACGATGCTACCGTGGAAGTCCAGTTTACCATGGGAGTCCAGTTTACCATGGGAGTCCAGTTTACCATGGGAATCCAGTTTACCATGGGAGTCAGTTTACCATGGGAGTCCAGTTCACCATGAGAGTCCAGTTTACCATGTGAGTCCAGTTTACCATGGGAGTCCAGTTTACTATGAGAGTCCAGTTTACCATGGGAGTCCAGTTTACCATGGGAGTCCAGTTTACCATGAGAGTCCAGTTTACCATGGGAATCCAGTTTACCATGGGAGTCCAGTTTACCATGGGAATCCAGTTTACCATGGGAGTCCGGTTTACCATGGGAGTCCGGTTTACCATGTGAGTCCAGTTTACCATGAGAGTCCAGTTCATCATGGGAATCCAGCTCACCATGGGAGTCCAGTTTACCATGGGAGTCCGGTTTACCATGGGAGTCCAGTTTACCATGGGAGTCCAGTTTACCATGGGAGTCCAGTTTACCATGGGAGTCCAGTTTACCATGGGAATCTAGTTTACCATGGGAGTCCGGTTTACCATGGGAGTCCAGTTTACCATGTGAATCCAGTTTACCATGTGAATCCAGTTTACCATGGGAGTCCAGTTTACCATGGGAGTCCAGTTTACCATGGGAGTCCAGTTTACCATGAGAGTCCAGTTTACCATGGGAGTCCAGTTTACCATGGGAGTCCAGTTTATCATGGGAACCCAGTTTACCATGGGAGTCCAGTTTACCATGGGAGTCCAGTTTACCATGGGAGTCCAGTTTACCATGGGAGTCCAGTTCATCATGGGAGTCCAGTTTACCATGTGCAGGGGTTGGCAACCTGCGGCTCTGGTGCCGCATGCGGTGGCTCTTAAAGGAACTGCTTCGTGACGCGTTAATGATTATTAAGGACCACCACCGTCTCTCGCGTTCACCACACCATTGCGGCTCCTGAAATATTGGTTTATTTTACCGAATCAAAAAAGAACAGTCTCATCATGATATTTGGGTTGCACAATAACAAGGGTGCAAATATTGTAGAATTGGTTCAACAAGGAAGGAAGGAGCGATAAGCGATCATTTCGGACCCAGAAACGCAGCCCCATGTTTCCCATGAGTTATATTATTTCTCGAACTCAGTTTTGCCCAACACAGCATTTTCCAGGAATAAGCGAAATAACCCACCGCTGCCCCGTCTGTTTATAAACCACACCTCCCCTGCGTCAGCAAAGGGGCAGCTAAGTGAGGGATAGCTTTAGTAAAACATTCTTATTAACTAGTTCGTAAGGATGTAATTGGCACTTTGGTTAACGATTGATACAACATCAAAGCTCACCAGGTGCTGCGGGTTTTCACTAAACGAGAGGTGTCACAAATATGGGGCAGCTAATTGACACGTTGCGTGTAGAGCCTCGTGTACCATGGGTCTGAAAGGCACTACCTCGCCTGGCATGCAGGAAGTCGTGGGTTCGATCCTGACCCTGACGCATGCTGTATATTTGGAATTTGCATGTTCTCCCCGTGGTCGCGTGCGTTTTTCTCCGTGTCCTCCGGGTTTTCCCTCCACGTTTATAAACACGCGTTTAGAGTGCTTGGCTGCCATAGACTTCCACATGCTAGCAGCCACTTCGTCGAGTTATAATTTGTGATGGCCAGGTCACTTCTGACAAAGAACTACACAGCTCAGTGGGACTTGGTAAACATTTTAAAATATAGTTGATGGTATTTTTGGTAATCCACAGAGCATGGGCGATTGCGATCCTTCAGATTGTATTAAGTTGTAATAACATATAGGGGATTAACGATGTCCTTAGGACTCCCCTTCACCAGCAGCATAAACCATACGTTTTGTTGTCTTAAGTTTTCCTAATGCACGAGTTTTGCCCTTTGTGGCTGCATGGTTAGAGTTAGATGTTTTTAATTTTGACATTATCTTAGCAATTCCTTGTCTAGCCATCTCGGCTGGTGTCTCATGTTAATGCTTTACCGCTGCAATTACTGTATTTAATTTACAGGTATCGGTTTACTTTTGGTATAATGGAATAGTTAAGATCTTCTTTGGTTCTATCGGTAAAGTCACGTAGAATGAGAATAAAATAATAAATTGATAAAATAAAATAACACAATAAAATTCTCACGACGTTTCGGCCACAACACAAGCGGCCTTCATCAGGTGAAGGAACGAGACTGTCTGGAGGACAGAATTTTATTGTGTTACTTTATTTTATCAATTTATTATTTTATTCTCATTCTACGTGACTTTACCGAAAGAACCAAAGAAGATGAATCCTTGCAGTCACGAAAGCTTTAAATTGGAATAGTTAAGACTTTTAGATACCCGAATACTGTTACATTTTCCTAATAAATAGTAGTTATATTAATTAATATTTTACCAACTATTTCCTAGTGTGCTGTATTATCTCTCTCTTAGTATCAGTCGCTGACGCGCTTTATTTAAAACTTTGTTTACATTGTACCGCGTAATCATCAGCTGCTCCAGTTGTCCGTGTGTTTGTAGACCAATATCCTCCTCATCAGAGAGATTGGTTAACTTCTTAACACGGCAGTTTTTAGTTGAGTTTCATTGGTTACGTTGTTGAGTCAGCTGGAGAAAAAAAACTTAGCCCGCTTTTCACCGAGGCAATCGGAGAGCAGCACAGACTAAATTAAATCAAAATTAAATCAAACGTTAATTATATGGCATAATTCGTGTAAAGAATGCAATACAAAGTGCTTTACAGGACTAAATGAAGGGACTGAAGCAATGTAAACAACGATGAAAAGAATACATTTTTTTTAAACATCACATTATAATTAATGAAAGGTATAATAAAGTGCACAATAAACACGTGATAAAAGCATTCTAATAAAAGCCAATTTTAAAAAAAGGTATGTTTTAAGATTTCGTTTAAAAACATTCACCAATTCTAATGCCCCCCGATCCTCGGGCAGGACGTCCCAAAGGCGATGCCCACAGCGTCTGAAGGCTGCCCTCGCCATGAGTTGTCTTGGTCCTGGCCTTGAGCACAACCCCGAGGGCCTGATGGATCTACTTCAGGGTTCTTACCTTAACAACATGTCAGACACGTATTTAGGTGCCGTCAATTAGTGACGAAGTGTTACTAACCTATAACATTGACGCTAACAATAATAATCGCAGTTAAGAGACACAACATATATACTATTTAAAAGAATAATGACATTTTTAAAAATACCTTTAAGCTTTTTTGTGTATGTCGCAGCCGTTCTTATGATTCACGTTATGCGAGTAGAGTGCTCAGATCTGAGCGGGGTACCTTTGTTTAAAAAAAAAACGACGTTTGTTGTTGAAATTGGCCAGGCGAACATGCGCGTTGTAATGTTTGTACACTGCTGTCAGAGTTACCTGAACGACACATCAGTGTGGTTATTGCGACCAGGTTCACATTTCTCAAAGACAAAAGACCCTGGGACATTCCTTGTGCCAAGACTGGCGCAATCCGCCCACCGTCGTCTCGCAAGGAACAAAAGGTGCCCTGGCCCGGGGGGATCTCCCCTCACTGCGTCTACGCAAAATATCTGCACAAACCTCTTTCCGGGTGCACTGTTTGTCTTTCTCAAGACTGCAGGAGGAATCAGGTGAACTATGAAGCTCTTTTCCACAGACGTCACAAGACAGGGGCAGGAAACGTCCCGTCTTGTTATCGCGTGTTAACAGTGAGCCACTTTGCTGTGCTGTGAGATTAGTTCTCTCGCGATATCCAAATGTGCAGGGAAAGGGAGCTGCTGCCCGGCCTTGTCCGACGGCACGCGTTTCCCCCTCACCCAGGACTCGCCGCTCCAACCCCGGGGCACCGCCGGGTGACAGCTCTAAGCTCTTCTCTCTGCCCCGTTGTGTTTCGTTCGAGGAGGTGGGGTGGGGGGATTCTCAAGCTCATTTCCTTGTTTCGTGAACGTTTACGATTGTACCCTTCTGAGCGTGAGCCCTGACTCTGACTTTAAGTGGTCACACAAAAGCTGTGGGGTGGGGGGGGATGGGAGGTCACTCAGGTGAAGATTAGTTTCAGAATGCCCGCGTTGTTTTTTGCTTGCAGTATATTTCTGCTTGTTTGGAAATGTCTTGTCGACTTAAATGACACGTGGTCACGGTTTGTCAGCACTCAGATCCTGTCGAGATAACTTTGCTTCAAATGAATGTTCGAATGCATTCAAACGAACGCTGCTGTGACAGATGTTATGTTTAGCGTCAATCGTCAGGTGGCATGTCTCGTATGCAGGCCGCTTGTGTTGTGGCCGAAACGTCGTGAGAATTCTATTGTTATTTTATTTTATCAATTTATTATTTTATTCTCATTCTACGTGACTTTACCGAAAGAACCAAAGAAGATGTCTCGTATGCATTCGTTTCGGAGGAATTTGTACGCGTATTATGCAAAGTGATGTCGAACGTTGCTGTTGTTGATTAAATGGCTGCCTGCAACAATACACAGCAACGATTGCGTGCTTTTATATTTCCTTTCTCTCCTGGAGCAAGCCTCTGGCAAACAATTCCATCTCCTACAGCAACGACCTTCACTAATTGTTAGAGGGCATGGGGGTGGCACGTGAGCCGATAAGACATCGTCACTGCGAGAGCCGCCACACATTTACAACTTGTTGGGTTTGGCACCAGCTGATGATGGCGACGACGGCGACGATGATGGTGGTGGTGGTGGTGCTGTCACGCTGTGTCTTGTAGGGAAGGTCGCACGCCAAGGGGCCGCACTAAAAGCCACCACGGGGGCCGCCATTGGCCCGTGGGGGCCTTGCAAAGAAGGCCGACTCAGCCCCCCAATGCCACACGCAACTAAGTCGTCCCCAGCACAAGGCTCATCACAGTCCTGTCGACGTGACCCATCGCACTACTTGGCGAGGGGAGGCGAGACAGACAGCTGTGTACCACTGAGAAGCTGTCCGCCTACCAATGGTGGTACACGTAATAAATAATATACTCTTCTATGCATAGTTTTTTTTTAATAAAAAAATATAATGATTCTTTCAACGTGAATTGCCTAATGAAGATAACATTTTAAGCTGTTCATATTATAAACCGCTGCAACACAGTCTGATTACCATATAAATAACGCAACCGGCAATGGATACCCATTGTCATTCACATGCATTCATTACCCCCCCCCCCCTTCTTCTTAGTTCTTTCGGTAAAGTCACGTAGAATGGAAATAAAATAATACAAATAAAACATAATAAAATAAGATTCTCGCGACGTTTCGGCCACAAAACAAGTAGCCTTCTTCAGGTGAATAAACAGGACTGTCCAGAAGACAGCGCTCGAGTGAACATTGCCAAGCCTGGACCGCGTCTGTTTAAGCTGTGTGGGTTGAATGAACATATGAATTAGCATGTTACCAGTACCACCACCACCGGATCGGGGGAGGGTGGCGGCGGGTACACAAAATAAAGGAAAGAAAAAAGGAATAGGATAGGTGCGCTGCTCTGTCCTGTGTTGCGTTAATAGCTATGCTATAAACTGGACTACTATACAATGTAATATTATACCTTCCAATCTAAACTACATGGTATAATATCATATCCATAGACAAAAAATTCCACCTTTTAATTATACAAAAGGCAGTGCCAATGAATGGACTTTGGTCTGAAGGTCACCGTAAAATACAATTAAGAACCGAAATGGTTTATAACATCTCTCCAATGGTTACTAAGCCAGAATCTATCTTCTCGGTTGAAATTGTCTCTGTGTTTGTATATGTGGATGGCCTCATGAACAAATCTCTCATGGTAGCCGGATGGCTTGCAGAGAGAATCTCCGTCCTGGAGAAGTCAATGTCATGTGAGCCCACTGAATTATAACAGTGATCTGCCACGGCTGTGAAGGCGTCCTCCGAGTGAGAGATTTCCCTTCACTCATCGCGAGCAGCTTCGAGCATCGTCGCCACGCCGTAAGAGACCCATTCAGGGCGGGGGAAATGCGCCCGTGGCTGTGATGAGAGACGATGTCACGACGCGAGGCTGCACTTGCTCTAGGAGGATACAACAGCAGCAGGTGCAGAAAACACCGTGGTAGTCGCTCCTAAATGTTCACTGTGAAAGGATGTGTTGAGTCGTGCCAGCTGATCTTCAATTGATCCTTAGGCTTTTGGCAGTGTCAAGGGGGTTGTGTGGTGTTGATTTGAGGGTCACGGGGACAGCATTTGAGTTCTTTGTCGTTTCGTATTGTTTATAAATGACTAGCGTGGGTAGATAAGATAGTTATATCACTTTCACGGGAAGGCTAATAACATGACGAGGTTTTTATTCATTAGAACACCAGATTGTCAGAGGCTACTCATAACAGCCTCACCTCGTGAAGATGTTACGAGCCGCCGCTGGTTTGATAGTGTAAGTATATAAATGTGTCGTTAAACCCGCCACCACCCGACTCAGCCAATTAGTAAGGTTTGTTACGTAAACAAAACATGCCAATTCGTTACTAGTAAATCACACTGGTGTGTTGGAGAATAATCCACAACATTTACAATTGTAAATGTCACTGTAAATGTCATTGTAAATGTCATTGTAAATTTACAATGCCGCAACTCTGTGACTGAGCAAGCGTTCCACCGCTCCGCCAGCTTCATGCGGCGCTCGCACCGCAAGCAGCTTCACTGCCAGGCCAGGCGACGAGGGCACTCGGCGAACCAGCGCACTCCGGATGGATCTACGCTGGCGGGCAGGCGGGCAGGCGGGCAGGCGAGTCCAGTGATAGCCCGCAGGTACCAGTCCCACCACCCACTGGGTTCAATCCCACCACCCACTGGGTTCAGTCCCACCACCCAGCCGTACCAGTCCCACCACCCAGCCGTACCAGTCCCACCACCCAGCCGTACCAGTCCCACCACCCAGCCGTACCAGTCCCACCACCCAGCCGTACCAGTCCCACCACCCAGCCGTACCAGTCCCACCACCCAGCCGTACCAGTCCCACCACCCAGACGTACCAGTCCCACCACCCAGCCGTACCAGTCCCACCACCCAGCCGTACCAGTCCCACCACCCGCCAGGGCCCGCCAGGACGAGTCCACCTCCACATGCGAACGCAAAAACAAGTTGTCCCGATGGAGCAGGGCCACATGTTGGTTGGTCAGCAGGGGCGGTGGAGCAACATCAATTTTGTTGGACTGTATTTGAATGTTCCCGCGTCTATTCTCCCCGCCTTCAACTTGCCGTGTCTCCCCTCCCCTCTTCCCGCGAATACCTCGAAATGTCCGAGAATCCAAAGCTGTGGTTGGCCGGCCCGGATCTTCGTGATCCCTGTTAACACGTGACACCTGCTGCTCTGTGTAGTCACGTGTGACAACATTCGATAACTAAATGAATGTGCGTGGAGTAGTATGGTAATCTAACCACCGCGACCTTAACCCGCAGGGCGTAGGGTGGCCCTCATCCAGCAGTGGATTGACAAAAGGGCTATACGTGTGCCATTGGCACGAGCTCATTTGATTGCATGTTTCGGCACCTCCGATTAGCACGGTTGGCTACGTACGGTGTAAAATAAGTTCAACATACACACATACAAAGAGCAAGGCGGACAGGTTCTGCAGAGAAAAGCGTCTTTAATGAACAGACTTAAACAGACACCACACCCAGAGCAAGCACTCCCTCGGCTCTCTTTACTCAGGGCACCTTCCACTCACAGCAATCGACATTTTAAAATCATTATTTAATGAGAAGTACATTTACGCACTCTTCCCTTAACATTTTACAACGGAATTTAAGGCGCTCGATTACTCTTTACGAGTTCACTTGGTGGCCGCAGTCACTTGAAGACTTTTGCAAATGACTCACTCCAAAGGCGCATATTTTTTCCCCATACAGCCACACACAACACTTCTACCAGATCCTGGAATCAAATACATAGCCAGTGCTGCCTCTCTCAGGCCAGAGGCTGCAGAGCATCACCATCCTGGATCTTCCGTGATGCTGATGTTGCCCCGTCTTAACAAACGCATTTAAAATCAGGTGACGAATTTTCCATCCCACCACATTTCAATCAAAGTGTTATTATAGCATACCGTGCCTCTCGATCTCACGAAAGAGGTCGCCTTTGTGATCGGAGCTGCTCTCGAACAATGAGATACATGTGCAATTAGGCAGAAGGAAGGATTAGGAAGGAAGGTGCGAGCCCCTGGTTAAATAGTGCGCGACCTCTGGCCCCTTCTTCACTCCTCGGTGGGCACGAGAAGTTGGTACTGGGCGCCGGCGCTGTGCATGCGGGAGATCTTCACCACGGCCACGCACACAGCGGCCACGGTCAGAGCAGCGGCGAGCGCGTACACCATTCCGGATAGCGAGCCGCTCACTTCGGAAGCTGCGGGGATAGTAAACACGGCAGTCACAACAACAACAACAAGTCCACCCCGCACCCATCAGATGGACGGGTCTCACCGGCCGGCAACCTGCGTGTGTTTTTGTTTACGTCGCTAATCGCATCGCAATTGTGCTGCCGTATAGTCAGGTCACTTAATGGCAGCAAAGCGAGATGTTAATGGTGAACAATCCTTGAGGATAATGATACCACCCACGTAACTGCTTCTGGCGTCTCCCAAGGGGGAACTCTCTGACACAATGCTAGATGTTTTGAAGTTTTGAGTCTGTAGAGAGTGGCGTTCCACATTGTCAAGCTTCTGATCTATGATGTGACCCCGAATATTTACGATGGTGACGTGGGGTAGGAGAGACATTTCTGATAACAGGAGCGGCTCTCATGAAGAGATTCGCGTGCCAAGATTACATCGCAAGCTAACTCCATGTTGTGTCAAAGTAAGATACAATACTACTTTATTAATACACCAATTTATCCCATCAATCCAGCCATGTGGCACGTATTGTGGAATTTCCATCACCGACTCAGGATCCAATGTCGATAAACACTGCTCTTTCGCCTCTGTTAAGAGAGACAATGACTTTTGATTTTGAAGATCGATCTTTAAAAATGTTAATTCAAGCAAACTCGCTTCACCTCTATTGACAGCGACGAAATGAGCACTGCCTGAGAATGGTTTCATAATTGCTGCTTTTATTTAAAGTCTTATTTTACATGGAGATCGCTACGTTTAAGAGTTGTGCAGAAGATCACAATATTTATACACAATCGCAGCAATTTCTAGGGCTGCAATTGATCTTATGCTTTGATTCTGCCACTTGGTTCTTCAGAGAATCCTTGGGGATTTGTAGATAATGAGGAATTTATACACCGTGGCTACAACAGACAATATGATTTCTGAACAGCAGGGTACTGGAAACATTTTAAATATTGTTATCAGAGGGATATAATTTGTCATAAAGCTGCCCCACCCCTAACCCACTTTCCCCACCCACCAGTACCTATTGCTGTACATGCACTCCCAACCTGACCCATCTTCCACAACCCCCGCCACTACCCAAACCAGCCCAATCCCGTGTCCAAAGGAATGCAACTGGCCTAAAGAGGAAGGAGCGGGGCCTAAAGAGGAAGAAAATGGGGTCTACATAGGAAGGGGTGGGGTCTACTTAGGAAGGGGTGGGGTGTACATAGGTAGGGGTGGGGTCTACATAGGAAGGGGTGGGGTCTACTTAGGAAGGGGTGGGGTCTACATAGGAAGGGGTGGGGTCTACATAGGAAGGGGTGGGGTCTACTTAGGAAGGGGGCGGGGCCTGAAAAGGAAGAGGTGGGGTCTAAAGAGGAAGGGCCAGGTTCTACAGAGGATGAACCTTCCCTGTTGATTCAAAGTAATGCAAGCAGAGTATCAAATACGTGCATCCGATGCCTTTTTTATTATTGTTAGCGAGGTGAGTTAACTTTTTTTGTTATATATTCTTCCACCGTATCGGAGATAACCGACTAATGAATCAACGTCCGTTCACCCTGGCGCGTCTTGCGGAGCAGCACAGGGCCCTGGGAGAGGTCCACTTTGTGCTCGGCGCGATTCTCCGGGCTGACGAGGTCACGCACGGACCGCTTGGACCGCACGCACCCTCGCCGGCAGCGCGAGCTCACGTCCGAGATGTTGCACACGCGCACGTTGCACTCCAGGTACACCTGCCCAGGGACAGTAACAGACACCCGATGTATCGATGTTTGTATGCTTGAACTTCTTTCACACCATACATAGCCAACCGTGCTAATTGGAGTTGCCGATAGTAGTCGTGGTAGTAGTATCCTTTGTTTAACCAGGAGATGAGATACAGGCCAGTTGAGGCATACTATGTCACTTTGACCTCTTTTTCAAGGTTGACCTGGCTTACGTGAAGTCAATAAATACACAAGCAACTCCCTTCACAGGTGTGCATCATGTATATTCCACTGGAGTCGATTGCAGGTGATTTATTTCATTTTATTTGGACAATGACACCAGCACACAATGGCTTACTCTTGCTAATAACGTCACGGGATCTTTAACATCCAATGTATTAACATACTGTTACTACACCTGCAGTATTAATCAGGGTGGCTGCGGGATTTGGACCATGAACCGCTGCAACGAGCGGCTAGCGTGCCACCGCTAGACCATGTTAACCGGCGTGTTTGGGCCATGCCATGGACAGACTGGCCGATTTTTCGAATAACATCGCATTTTGTTTAACATCCACTGGGATTCAGACGACACGGGTCTTTTTTTTGCTAACACACACACATGGTATTCACCAGGGCGGCCACGGGATTCGTACCACCACATCTTGAGATTTCTCTGTTTGAGGGCTTCCTCAAAAGCATTCACCACTTTGTCCTGACAAACATCTGGGGGGGGGGAAACTACTACCGTGTACTTAAGGATCGATGAATTCAGGGTCTGTACATCTGAATTGGCTCTCCACAAGTGTACCATATGACTGTACATTTGAAACATTGGAGAGGCCACTTCATATACAAATGACATCTCGGATGAGGGCTCATGAGTCTTTTATACCTGAGAGCCGCTGAAGAACTCCACGCTCTGGAAGCTGAAGTGCTGCCTCTTCTCGTCGCCGCTGTAGTAGGTGGCGTAGGAAGGATCCACCTGGCACCTGCAGTTGGCAGATAAAGAGTCCACAAAACACAAGTTCAGAGGAGCAAGTTGTAGCAGACACGTTCATAATTACAATTTCAACAACCACATTCTGGGTGTTAAGCATGACACAAGTGCTCCCTCACTTTCTATAACTATTTTTTTTAAACATTATTTTTACCAGGTAAGGCCCACTGAGATATTTCCCTCTTTTTCAAAAATAATTAGGCTATCACAAATGATAGTCTAATGAAGTGGCTTATCATGCCGACATTTATAGCAGCCAAATACTCTAAAATACATTTTCTAAATGTGGAGGGAAAAACCGGTAGGACCTGAGAAAAATCCATGTGATCACGGGGAGAGAGACACGCAAACTCCAAATATACAGCAGCAGGCGTCAGGGTTGGGATCGAACCCACGACCTCCTGCATACCAGGCGAGGTAGTTAACATCTCCTAGCCAACGTGATGATTATGAGAGAGACATGCAGACTCCAAATATACAGCAGGCGTCAGGGTCGGGATCAAACCCACGACCTCCTGCATACCAGGCGAGGTAGTTAACATATCCTAGCCAACGTGATGATGATTATGAGAAAGAAACATGCAGACTCCAAATATACAGCAGGCGTCAGGGTCGGGATCGAACCCACGACCCCCTGCATACCAGGCGAGGTAGTTAACATCTCCTAGCCAACGTGATGATGATTATGAGAAAGAGACATGCAGACTCCAAATATACAGCAGGCGTCAGGGTCGGGATCGAACCCACGACCTCCTGCATACCAGGCGAGGTAGTTAACATCTCCTAGCCAACGTGATGATGATTATGAGAAAGAGACATGCAGACTCCAAATATACAGGAAACATCTTGCCACCACGGCACCCAACTTCGATTGAGCCCTTGGCTTTCTCCTTGATTTAGAATATTGATTCAGGGGGCAGGATTAAGTTCGACAATTGAACGTTGTTGTTATTTTTCTCTCATTTCTATTTCCTTATTTATCCCATGAGCCCAAATGTGTCAGTCGCATATAATTTCCATATAACTCGCACAAATCATAAATCATCAATAATGAAAACGTGCACGCATGATACAACGCATGTATCCTGAGCTGGAAATATGTTTTTAATCGCTGAATAATCACATTACCTGCTGGCCATACAAACGGGCCGTCCAATACTGCTATTGCATGCAGTATTGGACGGCAACATGGAATGAAATGGTAACTGTTATCAGAAAGAAAAAAAAACGAATTCAAAGTTGAACGAGGGTCCACCTTGTGGCCTGGTTCCAGAACTGTGGCTGCTTCCTCACCCGTACCTCCGATTAGCACGGTTGGCTACGTACGGTGTGAAAGAAGTTCGCCGTACATAGATACATCCATAAAAAAAGCATCGCTTTCGTTATTTCTTCTCTCACCCATCTCTAATTATGACGTAGGACTCGCTGTCGGCGGCGCCTGGGTTCGGGGAAGCCTTGCACGTCTCCAGCAGGAGCTGCAGGCTGTTATCGTAGGAGTTGAGCAGGACCTGGTGAAATAAGAGGAATGCGTGGTCATTGGGTAGAAGTGAAAGTGGTCATTGGGTGACCCGGCCACTTGGGAGTCAGCCAAGTGCACAGTTGGCACGCCGTTCACGTAGCTGTGACGACTTCGGTTGAGCCCTTGGCTTTCACCGGCCCACGCGACCGATCCAGCAACCATGTGATGACGGTAGCCGTGGGCAGTGCCGCTTGTTACTCTGCCGTGCGACCGTGAGCGGTGCGCGCAACGCAAGCTCGTCTCTCCAACCTCTGCGTAGATCGGGGCTCCGAGGTCCACCTGGAATGGGTACGCGCGGACGGCCTGGCCGAAGGCCTGGCTGGTGTAGATCGCGATGCTCAGGTCGAAGGTGCCCGAGCTGTACTTGTCGTACACCCTGCAGCGAGACGGAGGGCACACAGACACCCGCAGTGACACGTCAGCGCCACCTGAAGGTCTTATAATGAGCCGCGCGTGTCGAGATGTTAACTACATCGCCTGGTATACAGGAAGTCGTCGGTTCGATCGCAACGCTGACACCTATATATTTGGCATGTCTTTCTCCCCGTGGTTATGTGGATTTTTCTCTGGGTCCTCCGGGTTTTCCTTTCACATTTAGAAACGTGCGTTTAGGGTATTTGGCCGCTATAAATTTCTACACGGTGAGCCACTTCGTTGGGCTATCATTTGTGAGAGCCAGGTCGCATCGGACAAAGAGCTACATAGCTCAGTGGGCTTTACCTGGTGAAATAAAAATAGCGTCGTTTTATAATTTTTGAGCAAGCATTGTAATCATGTGTTCCCAGGTGCATGCCACGCCCCCTGTCGCTCATCGTGGATTCATAACTGGGATTGACACAAATACATTAATCTGTCCCTTGTAATCTTACAATGCAGATTACAAGCGGCCGTTGTAGTTATTATGCTTGGATGGAATCAACGAGCCTCATGACTCTTTATTTAGGAGATTCCTGCCATGTTTTCGCAGTAGGGTGGCGATGATTATTACGTAGATTCCAAATGAGCATTTTTTGTAATTTTGGCAAGTTTGGACCATTGAATGATGCGATGGGATCTCATTAACGGCAAACTCGACAAGCAGGTGGCGTGTATCGTTGTGGTGAACACACCAGGCAACCAAAATCGAGTTTTTTTGGGTTAGATCGTGTAAATATATAAATGTGTCGTTAAAACCCGCCACCACCCGACACAGCCAACTAGTAAGGGTTGTCAGGTAAACAGAACGTGGCCAATTCGTCACTAGTACAGCACACCGGTGTGTTGGAGAGCCACGCCACAACATTTACAATGTGAGTACGACGTTTCGTCAGTAATTACAACTAGCTTCATCAGGCGACAGCCTGGTGAATGGAGTCATAACAGCACTCACCAGGCAAGTGAGTGCTGTTATGACTCCACTCACCAGGCAAGGGAGTGCTGTTATGACTCCACTCACCAGGCAAGTGAGTGGAGTCATAACAACACTCACCAGGCAAGGGAGTGGAGTCATAACAACACTCACCAAGCAAGGGAGTGCTGTTATGACTCTACTCACTAGGCAAGTGAGTGGAGTCATAACAACACTCACCAGGCAAGGGAGTGGAGTCATAACAACACTCACCAGGCAAGGGAGTGCTGTTATGACTCTACTCACTAGGCAAGTGAGTGGAGTCATAACAGTACTCACTAGGCAAGGGAGTGCTGTTATGACTCCACTCACTAGGCAAGTGAGTGAGTCATAACAGGACTCACTAGGCAAGGGAGTGCTGTTATGACTCCACTCACTAGGCAAGTGAGTGGAGTCATAACAACACTCACCAGGCAAGTGAGTGGAGTCATAACAACACTCACCAGGCAAGTGAGTAGAGTCATAACAGGACTCACTAGGCAAGGGAGTGCTGTTATGACTCCACTCACTAGGCAAGTGAGTGGAGTCATAACAACACTCACTAGGCAAGTGAGTGGAGTCATAACAACACTCACCAAGCAAGTGAGTGGAGTCATAACAGGACTCACTAGGCAAGGGAGTGCTGTTATGACTCCACTCACTAGGCAAGTGAGTGGAGTCATAACAACACTCACCAGGCAAGTGAGTGGAGTCATAACAACACTCACTAGGCAAGTGAGTGGAGTCATAACAACACTCACTAGGCAAGTGAGTGGAGTCATAACAACACTCACTAGGCAAGTGAGTGGAGTCATAACAACACTCACTAGGCAAGTGAGTGGAGTCATAACAGTACTCACTAGGCAAGTGAGTGCTGTTATGACTCCGGGGTGACGAACGCGCGACCCCCAGGCGAGGTCACCTGGGAGCGAAGCTCGCGATGACCCTTCCCTCGGCGCCGACGTAGCAGTTCATGGGGATGCGCAGCTTCTTGGCTCTGGTTCCCGCCACGAATCCGTAGGCGGTGTTCGAGTAGTGAATGTTGTCATCGTGTGCCTGGGGCGGGGAGAGGGATTGAAGCAAGGGCGTCTCCAGCGCCTGTTGTGCACAGCCATGCTCGATCCACCGCTGAATTGCCTCCCCGACGTCGTCACCATCCCACGTGGGTCTTTGCGATGCCCCGGTAATCGACCTCTGTCTCTCCTGCACGTGACCTAAAATCTGACCCCTCGGTGTCTGAGGGCGGCGATGCCCCTGTCTGGCGTGTTGCCTTGTCGACTGGCAGTCCGTCATGGCTCTCGTCAATCCACCCTCGTCCCTTTCTCTCAGAGACGTATCCCGGCCCAAGCCCAACTTCACCTTTTAACTCCCCGGCCAATGTGCCGTGTCTCTGATGTGCGCCTTTTGTGCTGCCGAGATGCACGATGCGGATTTACCTTTTTCGTTCTCTCGGTCTAATTCGTCCGCCCGTCCGTTCGTTCGTTAGTCGCGCGCCTGGTCAGCGATGGACCGGTGCGCCAAACGTGTGACCTCTCACGTGAACTACTCTCGCTGCCGTACACCCGGCGGCTTGAGTCATTTGTTTGACCCACGGATCACGGAGGGGGTGGGTGGGGGGGGCATTCCTTAAAGGGGGGGTGGGGGGGGGTCGCGGTCCTCACTTGGAACGTCGGCCCCCAACCGAAGTGGGCACAATTTGCTGCTGCAGTTTGATGAAGCAACAGCATCAAGGTGTGGCGATGTTGGTCCACACAGAGTGACGGCTGTCTTCCTCTGAGCGAGCTATCCGTCGCTGGGACACCGTTCGCTTGCTCCTTTGTGCACTTTTGTTTTAGCATCGTTCCATTTTCCCTTCGTCCGTGTCCGCGTTTCCGATCCGTGTCATAACACGCACCGATTTAAAACTTTCGTTGACTCGGGTTTACTTTTGTATTGGATGCATTGGGCCGTATGCGGTCTGTCCTCATCACCTGCTGATTTTCCACAGCTTGCTGGCACGCGTCTGCACTACGTCAAGTTGATCCGAGTCTGCCCTCAATAAGCGATACACAATTACATCTTCCAGTAGCCATCCGACTGCCGTGATTGTGTTCACCAGACTTGTTGCACGTGACTTTTGTTTTGCTCACGCTTATTATTTAGCCCACATTTGCATTCTTCTCTGTTAAAGTTCAATAATTTCCTGGAGTTTATTTCCATTGGTTGTTGCAACGACTATGTCATTGGTGAATCTCAAATGGTTAATACTTGATTTGTTTTATTTTATGTGACTGCATTTCTTTCTCCAATCCATTTTTCCGATCATCATCTCAGTGCCAGTTTGACACGTAGTAGTAGTGGTAGGCCTTGGAGAACAATATTATCAGTAATGGAGGTTTTTGAGTTATATTGCGTAAATATAAATGTCATTAAACCACGCGACACAGCCACAGATTTCTCCACAACTCTGGCTGTCCGCCTGTTGATGTTGGTTGTAATTACCGGTGAAACGTCGTACTCGGATTGTTAATGTTGTGGGTTTACTCTCCAACACACCGGTGTGCTGAACTAGTAACGACTTGGCACGTTTTGATTAAATTACGTGACACTAAACCTTTCTAATTGGCTGTGTCGGGTGGTGGCGGGTTTACCGACACATTTCTACGTCTGCGATCTAACCCAAAGACACCTCCACTGTGGATCTTAGTGCCGCTTTGAATCGCCTATCCCAATTAGTGACATTTTGTTACTTTGTGCCATCTCGGTGCGTCTGGTCTATCATGAATCATGATACAGGGTCTTGATCACTTACGTCGTGATCAACGAGGTTATTTATATTCCGTGGTGTCAATCGAACCCTGTGCCTGATGGCATTAAGATCCTGTTTTGCACTTCCCATCAGAATAACACTTAAATACAAATCACACGCTGCACTGGCAATGCTGATCTTTCCCGTGTACTTTTACAACCGCAATTTGCTTTATGAATGACCATATCTATTTAAAATGTTCAAACATCTTACATGTTGTTGACGTCATTTAAAGTCAGTTTTATTCTAATGTTTTGTTTTATGTACAGTGTATTTGATGTGCGCATTCCACTCGAAATTATTTCCTCTCTCGCTGCATTTAAACCGCGGTGTTTAGTGTCAATGCTTCCAATGAATGATAAGGTTACAAAGTGCGTGTGTACTTCTCATCGTGCACACTGGATACACGGCTTATCGCGGTGACTCGAGGTTTGAGTCTCAGCTACTGACCGTGCCGTGTGTGTGTGCCTTGTGTGTGTGTGCCTTGTGTGTGTGTGCCTTGTGTGTGTGTGCCTTGTGTGTGCGTGCCTTGTGTGTGTGCCTTGTGTGTGCGTGCCTTGTGTGTGCGTGCCTTGTGTGTGCGTGCCTTGTGTGTGCGTGTGTGTGCCTTGTGTGTGCGTGCCGTGTGTGTGTGTGCCGTGTGTGTGCGTGTGTGTGTGTGCCTTGTGTGTGTGTGCCGTGTGTGTGTGTGTGCCGTGTGTGTGCCTTGTTTGTGCGTGCCGTGTGTGTGTGTGTACCGTGTGTGTGTGTGCGTGCCGTGTGTGTGCCTTGTGTGTGTGCCTTGTGTGTGTGTGCCTTGTGTGTGTGCCTTGTGTGTGTGTGCGTGCCGTGTGTGTGCGTGTGTGTGTGTGTGCCTTGTGTGTGTGCCTTGTGTGTGTGTGCCTTGTGTGTGCGTGCCGTGTGTGTGTGCCGTGTGTGTGTGCCTTGTGTGTGTGCGTGCCTTGTGTGTGCGTGCCTTGTGTGTGCGTGCCGTGTGTGTGTGTGCCTTGTGTGTGCGTGCCTTGTGTGTGCGTGCCTTGTGTGTGCGTGTGTGTGCCTTGTGTGTGTGGGTGTCTTGTGAGCGTGTGTGTGTACGTGTGTGTGTGCGTGCCGTGTGTGTGCGTGTGTGTGCGTGTGCCTTGTGTGTGTGTGTGCGTGCCGTGTGCGTGCGTCCCGTGTGTGTGCGCGTGCCGTGTGTGTGCGTGCCTTGTGTGTGTCGTGTGTGTGCGTGTGCCTTGTGTGTGTGTGCGTGCGTGTGTGTGCCTTGTGTGTGTGCCTTGTGTGTGTGTGTGCCTTGTGTGTGTGTGCGTTCCGTGTGTGTGCGTGCCGTGTGTGTGCGTGTGCATGCCTTGCCACGAAACTACGACTTAGTGGTGGTCACGGGTTGCTGAGGAGATGGAGTCTGCCTCAGTGGCCCGCGATCACAAATCTCTATTTAACTCCATCAAAAAAGTAACCTGCAGCGCCACACCTATTACCATCATTAGGGGAAAAAACGGTGATCCAATCTCTGACCCCCAGGAACAGGTTTGCAGATTTGCTGAGCATTTCTGTGAGGTCCTGGGGGAGGGAAAATCCCTCAGCCAGGAAAACATTGTGGCACAAAGTGAGGATGACCCTGCTGAGGCTGCGGTGCCTCAAATATTGGAAGAAATCACCCCCTGTGAGTGGCTGGCTGAAGTGCCATCTGTTGAGGAAGTACTGAAGGCGATCTGGAGTCTGAGACCAGGAAAGGCAGCGGGCAGAGATGATCTCCCAAGCGAAATGCTGAGGGAGGATGGCGTTTGTGCACAGACTGCCCTATATGACATCATAACAACAGTCTGGACCACTGGACGGGTTCTGCAGGATTGGAAGGATGCCCTGGTGGTCCCCCTCTTTAAGAAGGGGGACCGCACAGACTGTAACAACTACAGGGGCATCTCACTCCTCAGTGTGCCGGGAAAGGTCCTGGCAAGGATTATTCAACATCGCCTTGCCAGGCACGCTGAGGAGAGGCTTGTGGAGCCCTAATGCGGTTTCAGGAAAGGGCGGTCCTGCACAGATGCCATATTTTCTGTCCGTCTGCTACAGCAGAGGTGTAGGGAATTCCAACAAGACCTACATCTCTGCTTTATTGACCTGGTCAAGGCCTATGATACCATCAGTAGGCCTGGGCTCTGGGTCGTTCTTCGTGCTTTTGGAGTACCTGACCCTCTGCTCACGATCATTAAGGACCTTCATGATGGTGAGCGGGCCCGGATAAAACTACGTGGCCGGGAGTCAGAGCCATTCCCTGTACACCTTGGGGTGCGACAGGGATGTCCTCTGGCTCCCACATTATTTAACATCTATTTTGACCACGTAGTTCGTGAAGCCTTCAATAGCTGTACCGGGGGAATCTCCATATGGTACAGATATAATGGGAGGCTAATCGATGCCCGGGTGCGGTCAAGGGATGGCTCCCTATTGCTCAACCACGTTATGTATGCTGATGATTTGGTAATAGCTGCTCAGTCAGAGGAGGAGTTGGAGACGCTGCTGCTGAGACTGGAGCGTGCCACTAAGAGGTGGGGCCTTACCATCAGCCCCACCAAAACTAAGCACCTGCCTGGGTATTTTGTACCATCGGACACTCCACCCCCACAACTCCCAATCGGTGATGGGGCAGTTGTGGAGAGAGTGAAGAGTTTCCCATACCTGGGCAGTGTGCTTATGACTGGCTCCAGTTTAACAGCAGAGGTCTCACTCCGAATCAGTCGAGCGGCAATATCTTTTCATCGGTTGCGTAACGCTGTGTGGAAGCTACCTGGTCTGTCGCTCCGCACTAAGCTTCAGGTCTTCTCGGCCACGGTCATTCCCTCCCTTCTCTACGCTTGCGAAACGTGGACCCCCCTAATGGAACATCTTCGCCGGTTAGAAACATTTAGGCTGGCCTGCCTACGATCCATCCTGGGTTTAACCAGACTGGATTGTGTGAGGAGCTCACAAATCCTTGAAAGATCTGGGCAGGGTCCCATCGGTGAGCTCCTCCGGCAGGCAAGGCTGCGATGGCTGGGTCATGTAGCCCGCATGCCCAGCCACCGCATGCCGAAACAGCTTTTGTTTGGCCGGATTGAGGGGGCTAAGCGGGCGCGGCACGGGCTAGAGAAGAGATGGAGTGATGTGGTACAGGAGGACGTGGAGCTGAGTGGACTTGCCGATGACTGGTACCAGCGGTGTCAAGATCGGCCTCTGTGGAGGAGGCTCGTGAAGGATGCTACTGGGCAGTTGGAGGCAGTCGCCCTCCAACAACAACGGAGGGCGGAGGAGCGACGCTCACAACAGCGAGCGGAGCGCCGGGTGGCTAAAGCACAGCAGGTTGGCACAGTAGGGGGCATAGGTGGTGCATCAGCCAGTCATCTCAGTCAGTCGACCCGTGGCACCTGGGTCTGCCCCGTGACCTCCTGCCAGCGGGCGTTCGACACTTCACGTGGCCTCAGGGTGCACATGGCCTGGCACAAGCGTCGTGGTGACGTCACCGCCACTTAGTGGCGAATGGCGGTTGTTGTTGTGTCTATGTGTCTGTGTGTGTGTTCATTATGCAAGAGATGTGCCGCCTCCTCCTGGCTCTGCAAACCACGTGGATAAGACTCCTGGCCACGCGTTGACAACGATGGCGAACAAGTGGAGACTTTTTGACTTTTTGAAGCTATTAACAAACATTTGTTATCATGTTACAGTGTAGTTGCCGTTCTTTTCCCATTAAAAACGATAGTCCCATATAAGTGTTAAGGGGCCGTCCATAAATGACGTCACGCGATTTTGGACGATTTTTGCCCCCCCCCCCCCCCCTTGTCACACGGCGTCACAAAAAGTCAGACCCCCCCCCTCAAATATGACGTCACAAAGCTCTGCCCCCCCCAAAAAAATAAAAAACATGCTTCAAATCGCTTCAAACTATTGTCATTGTAGTGCGTATTTAATGTGGCGCTGCACTCTAATGTTGTAGTAGAAAACATTTATTAAGAAGTCTATTTAATTAAGTAGAACGTATTGTCTATATTTATTTGAAGTTGCGCATTTTCATGTGACGTCACATTTCTCAACCCCCCCCCCCCTCGTCACACATCGTCACAAATGTCTGACCCCTCCCCCCCGCTAGGTGCGTGACGTCATTTATGGACGGTCCCCAACATTCCTTTGAGGCACCCTGTATTGTGGGGAACGGTGGTGCAGCGGTTAGCGCTACGCTGCGCTACGAACCCGGCAGAGAACCCGAGTTCGATTCCCGCTCACGGCCACCACCAACGGTGGCGATCCTGCGCCTCCACTCAGTCTCAATTGAGTACCTGGTGCAGCGGTGTGTGAACATCGTCACTGGGGAGACAAAGGCGGCCGGGCGTGGTGCTGGCCACCCACCCCCTCGTGTAGCGTGCCGTGTGCCCGGCCTTCACAGGCGCTGCTGCTCGCTAACAGCGCCTGCCCCGGCAGTCTGTTAAGGCCACTGGGAGTCATCGTTGTCTTTGTGCGAACACCGCGGATAATGACCTGCGAGGTGGAGCCACAGGCGAGCAGGTCGGTGTGCAGGACCAGGTACTGCCCCGAGATGGAGCCACGGCACGAGGGGTCCTCCAGGTGGACGTCGGACGGCGAGAGGCCGAGCTCGCTCAGTTCGCTCAGCGGGATCTGCAGCTCCATGTAGCGCGACGTGCAGTTCATCAGCTCGCCCCGTCTCGTCGCCGACAACGTCACTGATGGTGTTGGCGACACGAAGTGGAACAAAGCGGGCCAGGGTATTCAGACGATGGCGAGGTTGTGTCTCGGGCCGACTGGGTGTAGAGACGTCGGGAGCACCGCTGGCTGCGTAGGGTGCGAAAGAAGTTCAACGTGCGCGCGTGCATGCACCCAGTTCGCTCGCGGTTGAAGAGATCATTGTGCACATGTCCACGGCTAAAAGGAGACATGCTCAGTCATTAGCTCTGAATCCCCAAAGTTGTGTTTCTTACCGGCAGCAGCGGAGGTCGGTGGTTCTGCTCCACGCGGGGGTGATGATGATGATGATGGTGGTGGCGGTGATTCCATTAAAACAACAAAATGCAAACAATTGATTAACACTTGGGGTGACACTTACTCCGTGTCAGTGATTTATTATTTGTATCTCGCTTGTTCAAGGCAAGAGGTGAGATGCACTCGGGTGTCGTTCCCCCCCCCCCCCCCACAAGCAGCTGCTTGAAGTGGAACTATTGGAACTGTGGAAGTGGAACTAGTGGAACTGTGGAAGTGGAACTATTTTAACTGTGGAAGTGGAACTATTGGAGCTGTGGAAGTGGAACTATTAGAACTGTGGAAGTGGAACTATTGGAGCTGTAGAAGTGGAACTATTGGAACTGTGGAAGTGGAACTATTAGAACTGTGGAAGTGGAACTATTTGAACTGTGGAAGTGGAACTATTAGAACTGTGGAAGTGGAACAATTGGAACTGTGGAAGTGGAACTAGTGGAACTGTGGAAGTGGAACTATTTGAACTGTGGAAGTGGAACTATTTTAACTGTGGAAGTGGAACTATTGGAGCTGTAGAAGTGGAACTATTTGAACTGTGGAAGTGGAACTATTTGAACTGTGGAAGTGGAACTATTTTAACTGTGGAAGTGGAACTATTGGAGCTGTGGAAGTGGAACTATTGGGACTGTGGGAGTGGAACTATTGGAACTGTGGAAGTGGAACTATTGGAGCTGTAGAAGTGGAACTATTTGAACTGTGGAAGTGGAACTATTGGAACTGTGGAAGTGGAGCTATTGGAACTGTGGAAGTGGAACTATTGGAACTGCCTCGGAAGAAACGTCCAGAGCAGCACCTCGCTGGGTGTTATAAATAAATGGATGTCTCCCCTCACTGCCCCGACCATGGCACGCCGTGGCACGGCCAGACGTGCCAGGCAGGGCACGGGGGCCGCTGCTGTATCACGCGCAGGGAGTGGGGACGAACTGAAAGCTCGTAACCGTTAACCGGTAAAAAAAAAAAACGTTAAAGAATCAGAATTTCTATGCCCGGAATAATTCGATTGAGCTTTAGCGCTCTTTCTGCGCACACGTCCAAAGGTCGTGAACTATGAAATGAGATGGTCACGCGGGGTGGGGGGGGGTGTACTAGAAAGACGAACGTTCGATAGCACAATGCACACTCACTGCAATACAAAGCTCAGTTGAGAAGCCACTTGCACCAACAACATTGCAGTGAACGCAAACAGAGACGGTGTTCTTCGTGATTACCGTTCAAAACACGTTTTATTTTCTGCTCCATCGTCTACCCAACAGAGTCTAGCCTCCCAGAGCACCAACACATTAGCAGCTGTGTCGAAGTCACTACCACGTGTACCCCCGGTACTATCACAGCAAAGGAGCGTTTGGCATAGGACGAGGCATCTCCAAGATTGTTGGGGAACTGTCATAAGTTGTGTCAGTGATGGCTGAGTCATCATTAGGGTGGCCGAATTTTCAAACTCATTTCTTGAGAACTGCTTTTTTTGCCTCTAGTTTGTCGTCCTTCCCTCGTACACCTCCGATTAGCACGGTTGGCTACGCACGGTGCGAAAGAATTTCAACGTACAAACGACTGCGGTCACAGGCGTCAAAACTCACGCAAATTCCCCAACAACCTTGAAAATGTCTGTCCCGTCTCAAACGCTCCTCGATGCTTCAATACAAAGGCCACCACCTTATCATGGGAAACTTTGCTTCGTGGTGTACCACAAGGCTCCTCCTTCGTCCTCCGCTCTCCCCAGAACGCCTCCTTCCACTTGGCCAAATAATCTCCAGGTTCGGCAGTGGCCACCGTTGCCACACTGATGACACCCGCCTCTGCCATGAACGGCGATTTGCTGTTTGTTGATGTGTGTTCAATGTTTGTTGATGTGTGTTCAATGTTTGTTGATGTGTGTTCAATGTTTGTTGATGTGTGTTCAATGTTTGTTGATGTGTGTTCAATGTGTGTTGATGTGTGTTCAATGTTTGTTGATGTGTGTTCAATGTGTGTTGATGTGTGTTCAATGTTTGTTGATGTGTGTTCAATGTTTGTTGATGTGTGTTCAATGTTTGTTGATGTGTGTTCAATGTTTGTTGATGTGTGTTCAATGTGTGTTGATGTGTGTTCAATGTTTGTTGATGCGTGTTCAATGCACTATAAATCAATGGGGTGGGGGGGGGTTGCAGGTTGAATTCATTTCTACCGATTTTGTTTTAGATGTTTGAACACGTTTCCATCGCAAAATAGACGTTTCACGATTATCATTATGACGAGTGCACGTGTGACTATCACTTATTTTTTAAATGACAACTACTTTTAGAAGACAATCAAAATCACTGTTACGAACGTCGCATTATTTCTCAACGAGGCCCACTTGCTGGCGGCCCCCCTCAAACCGCAAATGTCCATCAACGATCCGTCGGCTAGTTGGCAACATTAAATTAAGAGCCTCCGTGAGTTTCAAACTTACGAGCATCTCCTTGAGAGATGAAAGTCGCGACCGCGACCATCAGCAGCGGGCAGAACGCGAGTCGCATGGCGAGAGAAGGGGACGGGCAGCCAACAGCCCGTTCCGTCTCTTACTCGGTTGGTTTGTTGTGCCTCTCGGACTCGGACGCACGCCACACGCTGCTCTCTTCTCGGCGTTTGACGAGCGTCAGGGTGAGGGATGGAGGTCGCGGATTTGTGCCGTGGTTGATGGTAGATCGTTTGTGGCGGCTGTGGTGGGAGGGGAACAAAGGTTTGAGGGTTCAAAGCTTTGTGATAAGGTTTTTGGTTCACGTCAGATCTTACAGGAACTCAAATTGTCTGGCTTTTCCAGTCCTCGTGTGCCCTTTGTTAATATTCATTTACATAAATAGTAAGTATCGTAGCCTGCACGCCAAACCACCCGGGGCATTCATTCGAAAGTCAACTCCCCCCCCTGGAGCTGTGTGTCATCCAAGTGCAAATCGATGGCCAGATTAACAACTAAAATGCAGTCACGAGGTGGCCGAGCGGCTCAGAGATCAGTGAACTGAGTTGGCACCTCTGAGTACCTGAGTTCGAATCCAGGCAGCCGCCTGGGATTAGACTGCATTCTGCAACGCGGCACGCGGACAAAAAGTCCTCACGTTAAACGAGGTTCTAGCCTCACTTGGATTCAATTCCAGCTCTGAGAAGGAAGTTATTGGTTTGGCAGCAATGCATCTGAACCTTCGGTTTAATATGCCGAGTGGGTGTGGAACGTGCTTCCATCTACTCCTGTTGTGGCCCAGAGGTCAGAGGAAGAAATCGCCTTGGAGGTGGCTCTGTAGGCTCTGCTTCCGTGGGCCATTCTCAAACCAGAGGGTCGCACTGCTCTGCATGGGACCCGCGTGGGAATATCATCACGTCACGTGATGCCGATGGCACGATCAGAACAGAATTGGGAGAAAATGACCAAACATTTAATAAGTGAATGAAAATACAAGGCATCTTTTGCTGCGACATTTTAAAATGTTCAGTTTATTTGGATAAAATCACCAAGTTGTAAGATAATGTTATGCCTTAGTTTGGCTAAACAGCTCGAATCTACCAACGTATATTGGAAAACATACACGTGTACTTATCTTCATGAAGTAATATAGGGTATTCACGAATTCAAAATGTAACAAATGCAGCATTTTCTGGGTTCTTTCGGTAAAGTCACGTAGAATGGAGATAAAATAATAACACAATAAAATTCTCACGACGTTTCGGCCACAACACAAGTAGCCTTCCTCAGGTGAAGAAACAGGACTGTCCGGAAGACAGCGCTGTCTCGCTCGACTAATCGAAGCAATATTGAACGCACGGATCAATTATCCCAAAAGTTGATAGTTACAGTTCTACTTAGTTGGACACTTTAGGTGCCGTTTGCTGCGAAATATATGGCAGCAAATACGGTCCGTTCTCCTATAACGCGATATTTGCGTTCCTGAAGAACACCACGCTTTGGAAAAATCGCGTTATAATCATAATAATAACAACAATTAGGGGGTTAGGGGGTAGTAGGTTTCGAAACACCAACATGACTGACATATTTCATGATAACTTGCTTTATAATTATTGCAAATCGAGACATATATTGTAGGGTAAAGCACAGTCCGCGATAACGCGTGAGACGCGTACGCAGACTGAACAAAGACGGAGGCACGTGGGTAGCATCTAGAAGCATCCAGCATCATCCCACTGCCTTGTGCGATGATGCTGCGTTGTACGACCGCTTATTCCTACTCGCGCCACGTGGTTCCATTCACTCGATCGCATTCACGTAAAAATAAAAAATGTGTTCCCTAATATTCACTCTATGAAATCAGCATTATAGCAGAACGATCTGTATACAGTTATCGACACCATCGCGATAGAAATACCGTATCGGCATGCATTCAGGGGCACGATGAGAAATACTGCTTACGAGGTGTTTCCAAAGCACAGCATGCCAGCTGCAGACCCTTTTCTGTACTCGACTAGTCGTGGCTGGCTGGCTGGCATATCAGACTCATTGCCGAGTAAGAAGAGAGGGCAGCCCTGTCTACATCAAACTGGCTTGCGTACAGCTGGACAGCGCGATGCAGAACGGGAAGCAGCGTCACGGGTTTAGCAACAAATGCGTGCGCCCTCTTTGTCAATCTCCACTGCTGGGCGAGGACTTGGCCATGCCACCGTGCTCGCCTGAGCAGGTTGGTGAAAGCGGTCGGGGTGGTCAGGACTGGTTCAGATTCGCACGCTTGGCCACGTACTGGTGCCAAATGAGTTCGACCGTCCGCACGCATCACGCGCCACGAACTCAACTCGGGTTGGCAGAGTTCTCGGCGTGACCTACAGCCCACTCTGCCACTGCTCCTAAACACGTGGCCTAGGAACAAACCGCTGTCTACGTCTGCGTAAGATGTTTAGATTAGAATAACACGAAAAAAGTAGCAAAATAGGTAGCAGACGATGTTTCTTGCGCATGTCCATCCCTCCATAATATATTACACTTGAAAAATGTACACCACCCATTGGCCCCACGGCCTTCTCTGGGAGTGCATCGTAATTTCAGTACAAGCAATGCCTGGACTGGTGGGGCTTTGCTTGAATCAACGTGGCCAGCAAACAACCCAAACTGCACAGAGGCTTTTGTTCTGGAAGGTGTCTCCCTGTCTCCCTGTGGGGGTTGGGGAAGAAACTCAATCTTTAAAATATATAGTGGCGCAGGTGCCAATACGGGCACAGAATAACAAGTTCTGTCGCGCCTTAACATGCCGAGCCGTTACCAGGGCTCTGCACAAACAACTTGAACACAAATAAAGCACGTGGCATTTAGTGCGTTACCGCGAGAATGAAATGTAGCGACGCGTGCATCTATAGAAAAAGCGAGGCATTGTGAGTCAGGTCTGCGAGTGTCGGTAATGACTCGGATGCGGGTGGGGGGGGTGCCAGTCGCAATCTTTTAAAGAGCCACCGCGTGCGGTTCCGGAGGCTCAGGTTTCCTTCTGACCCCTGGACTCGGCGGTCACCGTGGGGGTTGAGGTGCCCCAGCCAGCGGATCGTGGCAGTCGCCAACTGTGGAGACTTGCAGGCCCATGACTGTCTGCACGGTGCTGTCGTGCAACTATTGGTTCACCGCAAGCCGAGTTTGTTGAAATTCTTTCGCACCGTACGTAGCCAACCGCGCTAAGCTAAACGCCAAAAAAAGTTCTTAAAGAAATGAGTTTGTCGATCTATACGATTTACAAGTGGCACAGCTCCCAGTGGCTTGCTAACATCGGAAGGAAGAGCGTTCCAGACGGCCGCAGAAGCGCATCTGAAAGCGCCGCGCGGCGACGATGCAGTGACCACCGCCGTCTTTGTTCGATGGCTTAGCAGCCGGAAGAGCCGCCGCTGGTGCGAGGATGACGACCGCAGTCCGCTTGACGATGGCGACGAGATCAGCAGCAGCCCGGTCGCGTGCGGTTCGCGCGTGGCAAGCTGAGAGGCAGCAGCATCGGCCCACTTTGTGTGCGTGCAACGAGATGGCTGGGAACGACGAGTCCCGCAAGATGCCACGCCAAGGTCACCGACTGGCAGCGATGGCGCTAGAGATATGCCTCCGAAATCCAGGGGGGCAGTGGCCAGTTGCTGTTGGCGATGGGCAGTGGCGTGCTGACTGCTGCTGCATCATCGTCATCATCGTCATCGTCAAGCCGGTTCTCCACTGCTTCAATTGCAACCGTTTTGGACTCTGTCCAAAGGGATATGTTAGTTCATGCGTGCAAGTTTCAGGTTCAAGTTTCATGTATGAGGTATAGCCCTGTGAGCCATGCGGCTCTTGAGTCGGGTACAACCGCAACAAACAAAATATGAACAGAGAACATCTTAAAGCGACGACGCGTAACAGAATCATCCTGGATAAACCAGCATATCTTCCAGAAAAAAACACCGTATTACAACGCTGTGTGCAATAATCCCAGTGTGATGCAAGTCAAACAATAACAACAACCATAAGACAATTTAGATTCAAGTTATCAGGTCAACTCCGCACTTCCACAAGAAACATGGCTTCACCATATGTTTTCGAAATCACCAAAATAAAGCTATAAAAATAATGTAACAACAGTAATCATAGGAACTGTGATTCAAATTTAACAATAAACGATACACACAACATGTACGACCAAACCTACAGCCATATCCGGCATCATGACACTCCAAGCGTATGATGTGTGAGTGAGTCAGTGGTAGTGTGAGTGAGTGCATGGTGAGTGAGTGTATGATGTGTGAGTGAGTCAGTGGTAGTGTGAGTGAGTGTATTATGAGTCAGCGTATGATGAGTGAGTGAGTCAGTGGTAGTGTGAGTGAGTGTATGATGAGTGAGTGAGTCAGTGGTAGTGTGAGTGAGTCAGTGGTAGTGTGAGTGTATGGTGTGTGAGTGAGTTAGTGGTAGTGTGAGTGAGTGTATGGTGAGTGAGTGTATGATGTGTGAGTGAGTCAGTGGTAGTGTGAGTGAGTGTATGATGTGTGAGTGAGTGTATGATGTGTGAGTGAGTCAGTGTAAGATGAGTGATTATATCACGGCCTCCTCCCCGCCATCACTCCGCAAGTGAATAGTCTACACCCTGCTGGGTGTGACCTGCACACTAAATAGTCTACACCCTGCTGGGTGTGACCTGCACACTAAATAGTCTACACCCTGCTGGGTGAGCCCTGCACACTAAATAGTCTACACCCTGCTGGGTGTGACCTGCACACTAAATAGTCTACACCCTGCTGGGAGTGACCTGCACACTAAATAGTCTACACCCTGCTGGGTGAGCCCTGCACACTAAATAGTCTACACCCTGCTGGGAGTGACCTGCACACTAAATAGTCTACACCCTGCTGGGTGAGCCCTGCACACTAAATAGTCTACACCCTGCTGGGTGTGACCTGCACACTAAATAGTCTACACCCTGCTGGGTGTGACCTGCACACTAAATAGTCTACACCCTGCTGGGTGAGCCCTGCACACTAAATAGTCTACACCCTGCTGGGTGTGACCTGCACACTAAATAGTCTACACAGTGCTGGGTGTGACCTGCACTCTAAATAGTCTACACAGTGCTGGGTATGACCTGCACTCTAAATAGTCTACACAGTGCTGGGTGAGCCCTGCACACTAAATAGTCTACACCCTGCTGGGTGTGACCTGCACACTAAATAGTCTACACCCTGCTGGGTGTGACCTGCACACTAAATAGTCTACACAGTGCTGGGTGAGCCCTGCACACTAAATAGTCTACACCCTGCTGGGTGAGCCCTGCACACTAAATAGTCTACACCCTGCTAGGTGTGACCTGCACTCTAAATAGTCTACACAGTGCTGGGTGTGACCTGCACACTAAATAGTCTACACCCTGCTGGGTGTTACCTGCACACTAAATAGTCTACACCCTGCTAGGTGTGACCTGCACACTAAATAGTCTACACCCTGCTGGGTGAGCCCTGCACACTAAATAGTCTACACCCTGCTGGGTGTGACCTGCACACTAAATAGTCTACACCCTGCTGGGTGAGCCCTGCACACTAAATAGTCTACACCCTGCTGGGTGTGACCTGCACACTAAATAGTCTACACCCTGCTGGGTGAGCCTTGCACACTAAATAGTCTACACCCTGCTGGGTGAGCCCTGCACACTAAATAGTCTACACCCTGCTGGGTGAGCCCTGCACGCTAAATAGTCTACACCCTGCTGGGTGTGACCTGCACACTAAATAGTCTACACCCTGCTGGGTGTGACCTGCACACTAAATAGTCTACACCCCGCTGGGTGTGACCTGCACACTAAATAGTCTACACCCTGCTGGGTGTGACCTGCACACTAAATAGTCTACACCCTGCTGGGTGAGCCCTGCACACTAAATAGTCTACACCCTGCTGGGTGTGACCTGCACACTAAATAGTCTACACCCTGCTGGGTGTGACCTGCACACTAAATAGTCTACACCCTGCTGGGTGAGCCCTGCACACTAAATAGTCTACACCCTGCTGGGTGTGACCTGCACACTAAATAGTCTACACCCTGCTGGGAGTGACCTGCACTCTAAATAGTCTACACCCTGCTGGGTGTGACCTGCACACTAAATAGTCTACACCCTGCTGGGTGAGCCCTGCACACTAAATAGTCTACACCCTGCTGGGTGAGCCCTGCACACTAAATAGTCTACACCCTGCTGGGTGTGACCTGCACACTAAATAGTCTACACCCTGCTGGGTGAGCCCTGCACACTAAAAAGTCTACACCCTGCTGGGAGTGACCTGCACTCTAAATAGTCTACACCCTGCTGGGTGTGACCTGCACACTAAATAGTCTACACCCTGCTGGGTTTGACCTGCACACTAAATAGTCTACACCATGCTGGGTGAGCCCTGCACTCTAAATAGTCTACACCCTGCTGGGTGAGCCCTGCACACTAAATAGTCTACACCCTGCTGGGTAGCCCTGCACTCTAAATAGTCTACACCCTGCTGGGTGTGACCTGCACACTAAATAGTCTACACCCTGCTGGGTGTGACCTGCACTCTAAATAGTCTACACCCTGCTGGGTGAGCCCTGCACACTAAATAGTCTACACCCTGCTGGGTGAGCCCTGCACACTAAATAGTCTACACAGTGCTGGGTGTGACCTGCACACTAAATAGTCTACACCCTGCTGGGTGTGACCTGCACTCTAAATAGTCTACACCCTGCTGGGTGAGCCCTGCACACTAAATAGTCTACACCCTGCTGGGTGAGCCCTGCACACTAAATAGTCTACACAGTGCTGGGTGTGACCTGCACACTAAATAGTCTACACAGTGCTGGGTGTGCCCTGCACACTAAATAGTCTACACCCTGCTGGGAGTGACCTGCACACTAAATAGTCTACACCCTGCTGGGTGTGACCTGCACTCTAAATAGTCTACACAGTGCTGGGTGAGCCCTGCACACTAAATAGTCTACACCCTGCTGGGTGTGACCTGCACACTAAATAGTCTACACCCTGCTGGGTGAGCCCTGCACACTAAATAGTCTACACCCTGCTGGGTGTGACCTGCACTCTAAATAGTCTACACAGTGCTGGGTGTGACCTGCACACTAAATAGTCTACACCCTGCTGGGTGTGACCTGCACACTAAATAGTCTACACAGTGCTGGGTGTGACCTGCACACTAAATAGTCTACACCCTGCTGGGTGAGCCCTGCACACTAAATAGTCTACACCCTGCTGGGTGTGACCTGCACTCTAAATAGTCTACACAGTGCTGGGTGAGCCCTGCACACTAAATAGTCTACACCCTGCTGGGTGTGACCTGCACACTAAATAGTCTACACAGTGCTGGGTGTGACCTGCACACTAAATAGTCTACACAGTGCTGGGTGTGACCTGCACACTAAATAGTCTACACCCTGCTGGGAGTGACCTGCACACTAAATAGTCTACACCCTGCTGGGTGTGACCTGCACACTAAATAGTCTACACCCTGCTGGGTGTGACCTGCACTCTAAATAGTCTACACCCTGCTGGGTGAGCCCTGCACACTAAATAGTCTACACAGTGCTGGGCGTAGCATGCTCTGCACCTGAGGCTCAGGGTCCCATCTTTGATCATCACTGGCTGCATACACAATAATTAAAAAACCGTAGCTATAATGGCAACGCAGGAGCAGCAGACCACACAACTGCAGTGCGACTCGTCACGCCGTAAGCTCACGCCGGCTACACGGCCAGCCGCGCTGTAATCGGAGGAGCGAGTCCGAATGAGTTTCGAGTTCATTCGATTTGTTGCACGGATGGTCCCGTTTAGCCAGCGGCACGGCTCTTGTGCGCACGCGAGATCTGTAGTGTCGCAGCAGCAGCAGTAACAAAATACAAAACCATCAATCATGCAGCGAGTACTGAGTCCCTTGATGATGTGCGAACTGGACTTGCAATCCAGTGGGTTCCGCCGATTTCCATCAATCTCCCCGTGCTGTCGTGCCAACAACGTGGCGTGTTCCTTAAATCCTCCTGACTATCCACTCTGCAGAATGAATGGGGGTACCACCATGGTGAGCCGATTGTCAGGCCGCGGTGTGGTGGGGTAAACTGTGGGCACTCCCAGCTGTACGTTGAGTTCAGGTCATCAGTTAAGAGACTTATTTCTTATCAGGGGCACCACGGTGGCCTGGTATACAGGAGGTCGTGGGTTCGATCCCGACCCCTTTATATTTGGAGTTGGCATGTCTCTCCCCGTGGGTTTTCCCTCTAGATTTAGAATCAACATCAATGTTCACACGATAAGCCACTTCGTTGGGCTATCATTTGTGGCCAGATCGCTTCTAAAGAAGAGCTACAGAGCTAAGTGGGGCCTTACCTGCTAAAATAAAAGTTTAGTCGTACTGCACACATCATTTGGCAAACAATGTTTTCTACTTTTTTTCAATCACCTATTGTCAATGTGATAACTTGTGACATCCGCAATTTTCTTCTTAAGCCTTGTAATGTGGTAATTTCACGTTATCACTGATTTTACATGTACAGTATATACCGTTAAGATGAATGACGCAAGGGGAACGCATTTTTTTCATATCATTTTATTTTCACACGAAAATATATGAATCGTGATACAAGAGTTACAGGTGAAAAAAGACATACAGAATGCGTTTACCTGCATCTACACATGTGGGGCCAAGCAGTGGTGGAGTGGTTGGCTAATTGAGCTCCGGGCCAAGCAACCTGAATGTTATTCTAAGCCGTGGGTAATATTAGCATGGTGACATTAGCATGGTAACATCTGCATGGCAACATTGGTATGGCAAAATATGGACAAGCAGCGTCCACGGTTGATGCAGTTATGAATGGGTGTTC